TGCGCGGGTAGTAATAGAAACCCTATGACAACGAGTCTTATGAAGGACAGACAGTGGGGAAACCGAGGCAAGGAGGCGGAGCACTAGAGGAAGTCCACGGACGTGGAAGGCGGGTGCATGTGAGGGAGGAGATTGTCAGCAAGCTGCAACCTCTCTCCCACCAGCCAAGCACCCTCTCGGCTAGGCTGGAAGGTTCCTTGATGGGTGCCCGGGACAGCTGTGTGGTGAGTGCTGGTACAACGAGCAAATGACCAGGGGAGAGGCATAGAGTCAGAACCCCTGAAAACGAGCGGTGGGGCAGAGGGGGAAATGAAGGTCCAGGAGGTAACTAAAGAAGAAAGCTGCATCTCTACCTTAAAAGACACAAGAAAGGCCTTTGACAAAATTCAACATCCCTCTATTATTAAAAACAAAAATCACTACTGGTATTTCATATACCAACAGGGTTACCCATGGTGAACAGGTTTCAGCAGCGTTTCCAGACTAAGAACGTATCAGGAAGAAGGAAGAGACAGTTCACTTATGCAAAATGTCGACAGTACACTGTTTGCTATAGTGCCAGCAGATGAACCCCTTAGGTTGGAAGGCATTTGAAATACAATTGGAGAAGAGCTGTCTCCTCAAATGAACGATACAGCTGAGCAAGGCTTTCCGGGCTCTTATTTGCTGGCTGGGGCACAACGCAAACTAAGACCAAACAGCTGCAAACATCCTTCAATAATCTAGACATGGAATACACGAAGTGAGACTCTAGGGCGATTCGCAGTTGTCACAGATGAAATAGAACGCATAAAGAACGAGACCCTATGGGCTAGTGAACTGAAGTGGACTGGCATTGGACATTTTGGGTCAGACAGTGCTTTACTGGGCCAGGCATGACGGATTCAAGAGGATTGATGTCACACTTACTATCGAAAGAGCATTTCAAGACGTGTCTTGAACTACGATGCTGTCCGTGATAGGATGACAGGGTCATACCTGCACGCCCAGAAGGAAGGCCAGTGAATACAACAATGATTCAAATTTGTGCACAACCACTACGGCCAGTGATAAAGAAATGAAAGAATCTGCCAGCTTCTTCAGTCTGAAATCAAATGCATTCAAGATGCATTAATAAGTATTGGCGATTGGAATGCAAAAGTTGGACACCAAGAGGAAGGAAGAGTCTGGGAACTATGGCCTTGGTGATAGAAACTAAGCTGGAACTACATAATAAACGGTTTGCAAGACCAACAACGTCTTCCCTGTAAATACCTATCTTTACCAACACAAACGGCAACTACCTATGTGGAAATCACCAGGATCAAATGAATTACATCTGTGGGAAGAGAAAAGGGGCCCCCGCTGGTGTAGTGGCCGCAAGTTGGCCTGCTAACCACAAGGTTGGTAGTTCAAAACCACCAGTGACTCCAGAGGAAACAGACTATGGTTTCTACTCCCATAAAGAGTTACAGCCACAGAAATTCACAGGGGCAGTTCTACCCTAGCCCACGGGGTCTCTATGAGTCAGTGAATTTAATTTTTTGGTTTGGTGGGAAGAGAAAAGAAAGACCAATCTCATCAGCCACCGTGAAACCAGGGCAGACTGTGGCACTAGTCATTTATATGCAGGTTCAGGTTGAAGCTGAAGAAAATTCAAGTATGTCGAAGATAGTCAAAACATGACCTGAGCACATCCCACCTGAATTGAGAAATCATCTCAAGAACAGATGTGGTGTATTGAATACTGACCACTGAAGACTGGATGGATGGTGGGCTGACATCAAGGAGGGCTCAGAAGAGACGCTGAAACTTGCTCTTGAACGTAAAAGAGCTAAAGTAAATGGGAGAAAAGATGGAGCTAATGAGCTGAACAAGACATTTCAAAGAGCAGCTGGGGAAGACAAAGTAAAATATGATGATGAAATGTGGGAAGCTCAGGGAGGAGATGAGCCAGTCAGGGTGCAATGTAACAATGATGAGAAATACAACTTTCCTCTAGTTCCTAAAGGTTTCCTCCCCACTCCCACTACCATGACTCGAATTCTATCTTGCAAGACTGGCTAGACCAGAGGATGTACACTGGGACAGATAGGAACTGAAAATACA